ATATATATATATATATATATATTGAAGTGATAATCTTTTTATTAATATTATTAGCATGGCCATAGACTGTTCACAAATAATGTGAATAGATGAAACTTTATCGGCCTCATTGCTGATATAAATAAAGATCTTATTATGTTCCTAATTTTTTTAAAAAAACTTGGCTGCATAGACAATAACGACTCTGGTGTGTATACTAGATTTTACGCACTTAGAGGTACCTATATAAAACTAAATCGAAAGAAATAAAAATGTTATTTTTTTACTGTATTTTTACTAAATCCTGAAATATATATGGCAGTTTCTCTCTAAAATATATTTATATTTCAAGCTAAATCCAAATAAAGTGAATGCAAGAAAGAGAATGGGCAATTTGTGCCGTTCACATTCATCGAAACAAGTTGTTCATTCATATCTGTTCGCATTTGCTTTCTTTATTTGAATCTGGCTTAAAATAACTTTGGATCAAAAAATTTAATAATATCAAGTCTATTATAATTCGCGCGCAATGCTATTGTGTAGATAGATATGTAAAAAAATATAGCATTATAAAAATGTATGTGATTGTACATTTAGATAAGCTGTACAATAAAAAATAATGCATTTTATATTTTTTAAATTTTCTGACGTAGAAAGATTTGCATATTGATAATTTTATATTGAAATTAGATTTTCCATGATTATGAAAGAAATTTATTTACTTATATGCCTTTTAAAGCCGAGCCAATTAAAGTGAATTATAGAAAGTAGGAATCAAGAAATCTATGTGCATATTTTCTATAGATTGCAAAGTAATGTTTAATCTTTTATTAATAAATTATTAACATTGGCCTTCTTAGATAAAAAAATATTGCACAGAAAGAAAAAGACGAATTCAATTAACAAAACCTCATGTTACTTGCTGAAAGCTTTGAAAATTTTAGAAACACTCATAAGCGCATTTGTGTATTGTAATAGACATATTTGTAATAGACATATATAGAGATACAAATTGTTTATTGTTAATTTGTAAATATATATATATATATAT